GAAATTCAACAAGACACTGCTTCGAAAGAAAAGGCATTACGTTTTTAATGCATTCCTTTTCTGGTTTAAAGTCTCATCACTTTAGGCTCTTCCACTTTCATGAGAGCTCTTGGTTCTGGTTTAAATGTAAGCCTGAAATACCTCTCCCAGCTCCAATCCAGCACATACAGTCCCATACAGGGATGTGAGTGGCTTCCTTTGGGTATGCCCACGGTCTCTGGTCCCTGCCTTGCTTCATGTCCCCAGTGCCCTCCCCGGTCCCCTTCCCCTCCGATTTTGTGCCACGTACCTTCGGTCCTTCCCACAGCTCCCATCTCCCCGGCATGATGCACTGGGTTCAGACACGTCACCCTGCTCCCCGGGGGTGTCTAAGCAGCTCTGTCACACATCAAGCAGAGTAACATTAACGCCTTTAAGTCATATTTCAGTTACAGTTATTTTGGATCAATGTTTTTCAACTTATTCTTTATTTTCTCTCCCTTTCCCACTCTCCCCTTTCACCAACTCCTTGCTTCAGATAGTCCTTATTAATTTGAGCTGCCACCTCTGCACCTGTATTTTGGCTTTGCAAAACATGACTGGAGTAGCTTTGGCATTATCTTGACGTGATAACGTGATATGTGCAGCTTTCTGCTGGCTTTTTTTTAACCATTCTTTTGACATTCAGGTACTGTCACCCTCCTCGGTTTGACATCGCAGTTGTAGTGTCATCTCCACAGTGGCCTCTCCATTGACATTATCATCGAATTAGCTTTATGATCAGCTGTAATATCAAAGGGAAGGGTGAGAGGTTGGCCCCAGCCCTGGCAGTCGGGATTCAGGGTGACAGAAGTCACTTCTGAAAGAAGGAGAGGATGTGCCGGACAGCCGCTGGCATTACTACGTGCATCAAGGCAAACCTGGGTGGTGGGAAAGCAAGTGAGCACTCGAGAGGTTTTGCATTAGAAAAAATAAGCAAAAAGAAAAAAACAAAACAAAACAAACACAAAAAAAACGACTACCCTGAATACTTCGGGCTAGTTAAAAGTAATTATAGTACAAATGAACAATTAAATAAATGCGTTCACTTATTTTGCCACTTTCTTCACGCCGCAGTGCTGGGCTCCGGAGGGACGGCCGGCTCCGAGCTCCCTGCAGAGGCTGCCGCGAGCTGCAGGCGTGGGCGTGAGGTTTGTGGGCTCCGGGGCTATTAAACTATTTAGGACCAGACTGAACGCAGGCCCAGCGCTATTATAAACACAGATGTTTTTATAAGCTTGCTGAAAAGTTAATCATCCTATTAATGCCTATTTCTGGGCATGCCGCAAGTCAAGAGATTGCAGTGTCTGAGCGGCGACCGTAGCGACTCTGAGCGAGCGCCTGCCCGGTCGGCTCCTGGGGA